TGGCTGGAGGAGGAAAAAAAAAAAAAAAAAAGATTTAAATCAGAGATCTGTCAGAAATAGTATTACATGTACAGTTGTACAGTCTTTCCATTCCATTACCTGTTGGCATCAGCACATTTGACCAGGATGGTCTCCACAACTGGGTTAAGAAGCCGTTGCAGTTTTTTTCTTTCAGCGGTTGTATGGCATGGAGTGTACACCAGCATGGCGCGTAACGTTTTCTAAGAGCATAATAAAACCAAGGCAAATTTAACTGGGTGGGACGCAAAATCCAAAAAAAGCTTCTCCAATGATCAGAAAATCTCTCTCTCAGCCAAAACGATTACTGCAAACCAAACCTTCTCTATTTTCCTGTTCTGTGACTGGCAGCCTTAGCTAATGATCAACTGAGGAAGCCAGCCACAAAAAAAAGTAGATGGATTCTGTCATGGCCATAGAAGATCTTACACCAGTTTACAGATACCTTTTTGATACATCTAGGACTGGATCTGCACAGAATTTTAGAAGTACATCAGTCTTCAGAATTAAATAATAATAAAAAAAAAAAAATCGACTTACTAAAGCAGCAACATAGACTTTGTAGACCGGGTCCGCGCACACCATTGACAGCACACTACAGCAAGCCTCCACTACAGCGTCCCCTGAGATACTGGACTGAGATGAGACACTGGCAGAGTGTGGGGTAGAGCCACTAGGGCTGCCGCCAGTGCCAGAAATTCCAGTGCTTTCACCATTAGCCAACAGCAAGGCCCCACTGACATCATGAGAGAGACGCCGCAGGGCCATTTCTCGGATATTCCAGTTTCGAGAAAACAAGCAGCCTACCAATTCCATTCCAAAGACCTGTACAGAGAAATAAAATAAAATTAACAGGTCACCATAAACACGGGTATTATAGTCACTTTTTTCTCCAATCACATTTTTGATTCTAGGCCTAACACTGGCTGTGAAAAATTAGTGTTCATCTCATAACTCCATATGCCCAATGCGATCTGGGGTAGTCAGATGCAGGGAACTGTAGTGTATGCCGACACACTTTTCCATCTTTCTCACAGATAAGTCCAATGATTTCCTATGGGCTACAAGTCTGCACACTTATTTTGGGGCACTATAAAAGACAAACAACTAAATACCCCAAAAATAGTGATGTTTTTCTGAGCTCACATATAGGCATGTTCAGCAGTAGGCAAGAAAGTCAAACTTTGAGATGCACAAGACATCCCACACTAACTTCAGTAAGAACCAAAAGTGGGGCGACCCACTAAGAGTTCCTTGTTTGTTTTGGGTAGTGATGTAAAGGGTCACAAACTGTCCATTTTTTTGCTGTTTGTACCCCATTTGGGAAATTGGTCTTCACTGCCCTGGAGCCACAACAGAATCAACAGTGACAAAACAGACAGCAATACCTTGACAGGGGTTTTAACCCTTCACCTCTATATCTGAAGCATAGTAAAGAAAAATATATCTATATATACAGATATATTATTATACAGGATTTATATAGCACCAACAGTTTGCGCAGCGCTTTACAATATAGGGCAGACATTTATTAATGTGGAGGAAATCTAGGCCTTAAACGTGAAGACAAAAGTCAAACAGTATCCGGTACATAACATGCAGCATCACCCCCCCTCCACCGAGTTTCAAGTAATTCCTCCAGGCAAAACCTCAGCACTTCCTGATAATGATCAAGCATTCTTATTCTTTTGTAGGTAGCCAATCAGTGATGGGCCAATAGAAATGTGTGTAATGGGAATGGCGGAAGAGGTAGTGTCATGCTTTGACATAACCCAGAAATGTCAGAGCTTTGCCTGTGAGAACAGTCCAGGAATCAGCTGCAGATATTTACGTTATCCTATCGTACCTGAATCCATGGCTCAGCCATGTTTTTGTAGGCAGAAGGAATCTGCTGAACCCCATAATGAGTCAGGTTTAAACTGGAATCCTGTGACCTTCTTTGGGATCCAGCTGTAGGCTGCTGCTGTTGTTGTTGTAGAGACTGCTGCTGAGCAGCCCGCAGAACAGGAGGAGGAGAATCCACAGGCGTTGGCATTTCATGGCTAAACAAAAAGACAAGAAAAGACTTAGCTTCCATTGTAAAATATTTTCACATTTCTAATGCAAGTACCCTTTATAAAAGTCAGTCACCATTTCTCAAGTACCTCTTGACATACTGTATGTACATTTATTGTGAAGCAATGTCTGCCACTCCATCTTTGATTCAATGCTTCTAAATAAGGAATGCAGAACATTTGTCAAGTGTCATTTAATAAATAAAAAAACAAAACTGTCCACCAGGGAACTATGGAGACCCATTGCACTAGCTAAAATCAGTTGTATAAGGGTTGTCCCAAAATATTAACAGATCTTTTACACCAAGTAGTATTTAGCCATACATGGGGTGGAGAAAATATGAACTTTGTAGCTAGTCAGACCAATCTAGGCAACAGTGGGCATCATTTAGGAGGCAAAGATATTACATACATGACATATTAGGTCTACATGTCAGTGCCTTCTGATTCTCCCACCCTACCATAAAATATTACATACGGATACATAGTATTCTCTGGCAAACGCACAAATACTTTCCCAAAAAGAGTCTAACACTTAGATTAACACTTTTGCAGTGAAGGGAAATCTCCCCACTGGGGACACAGACATCAAAACTTGACAAAAAGTTCCAACCAAAAAGGTAGAAGAAAAAACAAATTGGCAGGAGTTGTTTTAAATTAAGCAGAATAAGGAATACTTCCACTGACCAAGGAGAAACCCAAAAAAAAACCAAAAAAAACCATGGTTCCAGATTTTTTTTTTAAATAATGGCTACCCAACTCCTAGGATCTACCCAGTAATACAGACAATTGTGACCTACTCTAAAGCAGAGGAGAAAATGTACAGAAAATTAGATTTCAATGCAATAGTAATAGATCTGGAATATAACGATCGGCTTTGGTACAAATAATGACCTGTATAAATCCTGTGATCTCCATTTTGAGCGACAGAGAGGACAGATGAGAGGCTCCCTATTTCTTCGACACTCCTCTGCCCCTAAAATAATAGAAACCAAATTTAATGGCATTTTACTTGAACAAAAACATATCTTAAGTAAAAAGTGCTAATTGCACACAGCAACCAAGTAGCTTCTGTCATTTTTAAAGGACAAATTTGGGGGAAACAAAAACACAGGATGTGAAGGGCAACAAAACACTTAAATCAGGCTGTGTGTGCCATTAATCATGTGCAGTATAGCTACTTATTGTGTGTGCATGTCTGAGGTGATGTACAGTATGAATTCATTCCTCTGAATCAAACTTGGACAGGAAAAGAACAATCCTGGTGATCAATTCTCCCCTTTAGTGGAAACAAAAATAACTGTTTCTTTATATACTGCAATACGATTTGCTACATGGGACTCCTAAACAAGCTACAAGCCTTTCTAGATCACATTACATTGATAGTTAAGAGTGCAAAAAAGCATTTTGCATTCAGTGTACTAACTGCTAAATGTGCACAGCCATTACCCATCAATGGGTTCACAGACAGGTAGAACGGCCAAAATGTTTGTAACCACAAGGTGGCAGTAACTCCCCACTTTTACCAATCATCTGACTTCACTAATTGGATTTCTTTTCGTGGGTTGCTGCACTTTCTTTGCTTTTTGTCCTCTGCTGAAGGACCTTGGAGGACTGATGTTCAGAAATGTCTGGTACTGGAGAGGGCCCAGGACACTAGATTAGGCAAGTATATCAGAACCTCTTCAACTGTCATATTTTGAACAGAGCAGAAAAGGATTGTGGACGTTATTGTACATGTACAGGACCATTAAACTTTAACCTGAAAGCACTCGCACCTTTGGATATGCTTCATTCCAACTTGAGTAAAATCGCCTTTTTGCACCGGCTATCATTTTGTGAATGTCAGTAGTTAAATTTGCCATGGTATTTTCCCCCCCAAACGTAAACTTTCTAGTAGGTTCACAAATAGCAAACACACGCCATCTCTTACTTAAGTGAGTCTGCGAATTCTTACAATCAGCTTGAATAAAGATTGTATTAAAAAAAAAAAAAAATTGTTAAGTCGTCGCTGGGATTTCAAAAGTCAGCAACAGTCTTAAAACTGCCATTTAATGCATTGGTGAGTGATAGACCTATACCTGCCGTGTGATTTAAGCAGTGCCCATTTCTACTTTGAACCCTGAAAAAAATCTACTGATGGGGTGCAGCGGGGATGACAGTGTAGTCATGGACTGTGCTAGAGTGGCATGCAGAAGAGTGGGTGACGTACAGATTGACATGCAGTGGTGGTGTAGCTTGTTTCTGCAGCCTTCTTCACATACAGTCAGGCTCTCCTCATCCAGCATGCCCAGCAGGCAGATGGGACACATTTGTTCATCTTCATCTTTGATGCTGCGGATCGAACAGACAGACAATGGTCACACACCTCATTTCTTACATTATCCCAAACGGCGCTAACAGCACGTACGTGAAAAAGGAGGAGTTCAACAAGGTATATTATGCAAACATTAAAGCTTAACTGCAGGCCGACAGCTAATCACACATGACATACGTAAGAGTGGTTTTACGTACCAAAAATATTTTTATGTCCACTCAGTCCTGAGATTCACACAGCTCTGCCACACAACATAGCTAGCCCTGACTTTATTACAGTTACATAGTATTTGAGGTTGAATAAAGACACAGGTCCAACCTAGTTCATACTACCCTCAAACATATGATTGAGAAGACGACTGATGCATTCATCTCTCTGCTATCAGCATGCTCTTAATTTGCACATGAGAACTGCAGCACGCACAACCGATTGGCTCCTTGTGCTGCCCCTCCCAGGCTGTGCTCTGGTCTACAGGGGACTGCAAGAGGCTGACTCCAAATCACATTCTGGTACTTACACTAGTCTATGAAATATCACTTAAAGCAGAACCCTGGGCACAAATTTTACCAACTCACACAGTGGGGCTACCTGCTCGTTTTTGTCTAGGTTAAAAAAAAAAAAAGTTATACTCCTCTGCTCCTCAGAGTCAGCCAGCTCTTAGACCAGTCTCTTCCGCCTCGCTCCCCATTCGCTGCAGTGGTCATGTTCTAAACAGTGTATAGGATGTGAGGGCACCGAGGGACATACACTGCTGCAGTGGAGGAGGAGAGAGGCAGTAGGGAGCACTGACAGCCAGCCACCTGACATTTGGCTTTACATTTTACTTAAAATACAGAAACTTTAGACCCAACTGCCTATGCTAAAATAACAGTTACCTTCTATAATGATTTCAGCAATGAGAGAGAAAAAACAAAAAACTCCTCCTTATGACAAACCCCACATGCATTATAACTTCGTATAAACCTGGACCAACAAAATGTATAAACCTTAAAGTGTCACTGTAAATAAAGCACACAGCAATATTTCCATGGATTTCACTGGTTATATAGATTATATGAGAGAATATATCACAATTATAGATACATTTGCTGTATGATCGCCAACTTATTCTGCAGCCACAGGGGAGCTCCGGCATCTCATTTTATACTGACCGGTTCTCTTTCTGTGCTGCCTGGAGATCCTACACTTTTATACTATGCAAACCACAGAGAACGGGAAAGCTGGATATACAGGGTTAGAATTTTGCACCGACGTTCGTACGAAAAATCCAACATTTGATAGACTTGACAGAGGTCATTTGAAAGTTGGTTTTGTTTTAACATTCAATTTTGGAAATCAATGGAACTTTCTAAACAAAAACCACATTCATCGATAGAAATATCTTTTGAGGAAAAACCACTTCATTCCACTCCTTCAATTTTTTCCACCACTATGGTGGAAATTGATTGTCGATTTGACCACACGAATGATTAGAAAATGGAACGAAGGTTTAGATTTTTTTTTTGTTAAACAAATGTCTGCCGGTATTCTCAGCTTTAGAGCTGTACGAGGGCCGCCTTAGTTGCCTGCCTGTCATGCTGATCTTCCGGCTACACTACTTTCTCTGTTACAGACCCCACCATATCAAACAAGCATATTAGGAATTTGCTTCACTTCCCACATGCTGCTGGGTCATTAAGGTCTCGTTCACACCTAGGCGTATTGCATATGCGCGACCGTCGCGCGTTTTTTAACCGCGATTCGCGGTAAAAAAGTTGCGCGACTGTCACGCATTTCCGGAGGCTACTTGGCTGTATCCCAATGGAAACGCGCAACAAAAACGGCCCAAAGTAGTACCTGTACCTTTTCAGGCGTGGGCCGTTTTGTAGCGCGTTAGGGACGGGCGGAAATACGCCAAGGTGGGAACGAGACCATTGAATACAATGGGATTTATATTTTTGAGCGTTTTGTGGAGCGTTCGTCGAGCGTAGAACGCGCTACAAAACGTTCAGGTGTGAACGAGGGCTAAATGTAAGCATTGAGGTGGGAGAACCAGCACTCTCCAGTGAAGGGCAACAGTGACAGCCTCTATTTTTCTCAGCACAAGCTTCCTTTAAAAAAAAGCTACACAACTTAACAGATGAATGGAGGCAATTTGAAGAAACCTTATGTGACTGCACAGAAGGTACTAAGCACCTATTCACAACATACTTTCATTGCTGGTACACACTTGTACTCTAGTATAAGATGCACGTGCATCTATGGGAACATGTGCATGTTCATGTGCACTGCCACCCTGCTGTGACTTAGGCCAACACGATCAGCCATGGCCACAGTAAACATGCTGGAAAAAAGCCCAACCACCATTTGGTACTCACTATTATGTACTATGACATGACAGTCAGGGCCGGTGCTAGGATTCTTGCCTACACAGGCAAGGTGGATTTTTGCGCCCCCCTCCCCCCCCCTGTAAAAACAGGGCATTTTGACAAGTACTTGTACTTGTCAAAATGCTCCGATGTTTGCGCTATGGTTTCTTTTTTTCCCCCCACTTACCTTCGGCGCGGGAGAGCTATTTTGACAAGTACTTGTCAAAATGCCCTGTTTTTTCAACCCTCACCCTGCAGCGCCCTCAGGCGGCCGCCTGACTTGCCTTGCGGTAGCGCCGGGCCTGATGAAAGTGCCAAAAAAGCCTTATTTTTTTATATAAAAACCCGTCACTCTCTGCAATTACTTGGAGAAGGCAAACAAATGGATAAGGGCAATGAGCACAAGCACCATGTATCCAAGAAGGGAGGGGAGAATAAATCTAAGAAAAGACTGGTTTTGTCAACTGGCACTGATAAATGGCGTTTAGTAGAGTTGTTTGACTTATTTGTGGCTGCAGTGGTCTGCATGCGAGTAGGCAGGCCATGGGAGGAGCCAGCATTTAGTAGAGTTCTTTGACTTATTTGTGGCTGCAGTGCTCTGCATGTGAGTGGGCAGACCATGTGAAGTAGCCATACAAAGCTTCAATCAGAAAGACAATCTAAAGTCAAACAGCTTTTTAGAAAACGCTTGTCAAAACAGATCAGCATTAAAATTATAAAGCTTTAAAAAAAAAAAAAAAACCAACTTACAAAAGAAATAAAATAAACCCCTAACCCATTACAGATGTCTTGAGATGAGACCGGGCATTAGAGACTGCAATCAACTTTTTAATGAGATGACAATACAGCGTTGCTCACTGCCATGTACAAACCTGGTATCTGAGCTAGATGTGGAAGTGGTGGATGAGGACAATGTATGAGAATTTGACATGCGTGATACAAACTTCTGGATGGTGTTACGAGATGGAGCTTTGATCCTTGAGCTACGTCTACTGTGATATTTCTGGAACAAACTTTCAACCTACCAGAAAAAAAACACAACACAAAAAGTGAAGCCTTGGACAGTACATAATGCGATCTAAAGAGAGCCAAAGGATACTAGGCATGGTACAGAAACTGACTTGGAGAGGACTTGAGAAACTGAAAGATGATCAAAGCTTCATGCAACACATCAAAAGTCTAAATTGTGAGTAAATTATGCAAATCCTAATTCCTGACCATTTCAAACAGAACTTTAATCCCAAAAATACTTTTTACCATATCCCATGCTAATAGCTTCAGAATTCATTTTGTGAACTGGTAATATAAATGACTGAACGTGGGGCTCCATGAAATGGTATTTAGTAGAGGCAGGGAGGCTAGCGTGAACGGTCATCCCTGTGACTGTCCTTCAGAAGGTTTGATAAGACAAGGAGCAGTAATCCCTCATATGAACCGAAAACCTCTAACTGATCTGACTAGGGTAACCTGGAATCTGGTTGGTTTCTAGGGAGGAACTGAGCTTGACATGTCCAGTTTATTTTACACGGCCATACTAAAGAAACACACATGGGTTCACAAAGCACAAGATGGCACACCTGGATATGCTTGTAGTGGGAAAAATCAGGGAATTCCCAACCACAAGGATAAGTGACCTTTTAACATATCTTGCCCCCCTAAAAAGCAAAATACTTGTAAAAGAAACCTGGACGTGAAAGCTTCCATGCTCTGAACCCTGGGTCACTCATTACTTCTGTATTATTTGACATGAAACTATTCTGTTTCTTTGACTTCACATTTAATTTAGCCTGGAAGTCAGAATGGAAGGTTCCATTTGAGGCTTCTTAGATGGGCATTTTGATCTGTGATGCATTTACTAAACCTACTCTCTCCAGCATCCCAATTGAAATGTAAGTTCTTTCATACGTAATGACACTAAAAATACACCAATAAAAATGGAGAAAATAACCAATAAAGAGAAAACAAAAACTAAACTAACAATATCCTAGACCCACAGTGGTACATGCCAAATATAACTACTTCTCAAAGTGGTTCCCCAACCAACAACATTTTCATCTGCCTCGGTCTCCAGTCACCTCTTGAGCAAGGAATGCACTAGTGAGGATATGCACACACTTGAAAGCAAGGTGTCAAAGTGTCCCATACTTTGGAAAACCTTGTCAGAAGTCTAGAAATCATGCCCTTTCTTTCAAGAGGAGAGACAGGAGTAGGACATAGTGGAGAAGGTGACCATAACAGACATCCATCAATGGGTCAAAAATGCTTGGAAATGATAAGGAGGGAATATTGGCAGCAATGATGTCCCATAGTAGAAGTTTGGCCAATGATGCTTTCGGTTATTGGATTTTTAATTAATTTAAAAGCAGTTATTTGCTCCTTGAGGCAGACAGAATGTTGGCAGTAAAAATGAATCTACATGAACTCTACAAGTCTATCTAAACAACTGCATCATCAATGATCTACAGGATCAATTCAATAAAATCAATGTATAGGATTGTACAGTACAGTCGAAAACTGAATATCATTCTATATTTGCTCATGTTCGGATCCCCATCCTGAGCAGACAAGCAGCAACTCCAGATCCAATCTAAAAGTGGCAAGAGGCAGTTGTATGTTGGAGGGTTACAGATGAATCCTGAAGATGCTTAGAATTTCTTTAGTTTCAGCTGGAAAACCCCTTTAAGAACTGAAGATCATAATTAGCATTTTACATCTGTACTAAGCTCTTTGTTTATATTTTCCCTCTTAACCCCCATATAGTATTCCTGCCCAACAAAAAGCTCATTTTGCACAGTGATTCTATGGTCTGCAAGCAATTAGAAACTGCTGTGCGAGCCTAAAAACTGCTTTCCTGTTTAGCTGGGGGGAGGGAGCTGCTCGAATGGGAGGACTGCAAATCGCTGGCACAATACAATCATTTTCTTTGAGACAATGTGCACAGAATTTGCATACTTCAAAATTCTTCAAGGTTTTCCTCCACAGCATTGTGTCCGATGGCTCCAGCTGAAACACCCGTAACATGACGAAGAGGAGATGGATGCAGAACGCCCCTCTGCCGCAGCTGCAGGTCTGCAAGAGAATGAAGCACCAATTACTTGTGATCAGAGACAAGATAATACCACACTAGCATGGAGAGAACATGACAAATCCTAAACATTTCCCCGATGCTCTTTTGAGCTAAAACGTGGGCATGGGGGGGGGGATAACAGTAGGCAGTCTTAAAGGTTCAGTCCACCCAACAGAGATATTTCAGTTCTTGGAAGATGTCAGAGGGCTAGAGTTTTCTGTCTTGGAGTCTCTATTGATGGGATTTCTGCAACTGAGCTACTGTACACAAACTGTAGCCAATATGAGGGGTTTCCACTTTCCCTGTTGGATTTATTTATTTTTTATTGCTGCATTAAGTACACAGAATGCAATATTACCAGTACATGAGGAGCTGGAAAACACAAAAGGTGTATGTGTCAGGGATAACTGCTTATAAAAATAACTTTTGGATGGACAGACCCTTTACAAAATAAGGCTTGGTGTCATTGATTGGACTTCTTTTAGCTCATATGTACACCAATATAGGTTAATGAAGTTCCAGGAAGTAGGTTTGTTTAGAACTGCACCTGGTCTTGAGTCTCCTACACCAACAGTTTTCTGTGTCTGCAGACCATTTGGAGGATATGCAGTGCCTACAAGTTTGTGGATTCTGGCCTACTCTGCCACTCACACTCGCCAACACTACACTGATGCGCACTTCTGCACTCACCAACACTGCACCCTACGCATTTCTACTCTAGCCAACACGCAGTTTCATGCTTTTTTGCACTCGCCTGCACAACAAAAATGTGCATTTTGTTGCATTGTTGACAAGTGCAATAATAATTTTGCACTTGTCAACAATGCAACAAAATGCAGTTCAACATTTGCCAAAAATGCAATGAAATGCTTTTCGGCACTCGCTAACACCTCACTATCATGCACTCCCGTATTCATCCCATTTAACAAATGGGTACACTTTCTTTTTATTGGGCAATATCCTGTAGGAAAAAGCACACAAGAACCAGGTGCTCAACGAGAAAACATTTTGTAATCAACATGAACATGACATCAAGTGTCCCAGAAGCTTTTGGCAGCAGGTACATGAGAAATGAGGTTGGTAAGGTGAAATCACACACATCAATGTGAACACAAAGGCCTGCAGGGCAGTGAAATGAAGACAAGTGTCATTTGTGCAGCTTGTTTTTGTGTATTTTCCCACAATCTTATTAAGCATGTAATAACCTGTACTAAAACATAACATAATGCAGGCCAACTTTAAGGACAACCTGTATCGAATCTACATGCATCCAAAAGGTAAGATGACAACAGAAAAAAACAATTTGTTCGGCTACATTTACAATTGAAAAATAAGAATTTTGAGATCACAATTAAATCACTCTTCCTCCATTGACGAGCACAGAATTGTAGAATATTCTCATATATGGCATGCCCAAAAGGAGTCTGAGGGGGCAATGTCAATTAGAGAAAACAGATGTGGAATTTAATTAGCATCAATGCATGATAAACATACTAATCTGGAGAAGGACACTGTCAGGGAAAGACATGCAAGGTCAATCTGATGTTCCAGATTGGCCCAACAAGCTCCACAGAGGTACTTTAGGGTGTCATGTGCTTCTACCAACAATGTGGGGGACAACCAAGCATTCACCTAAGAGAACTACAGGTGGAATAAAGTTTCCAAGCTGGAAAAGACGACCACAGATAAGCTGGTCAAAAAGGAAAATTATTGGGCTGAAGGCATAGGTCAAGCCAACTTCTAAGAAAAAATAAACTGACTAGATAACAGTCAGTAACTTAGATAATGCATCTATAACCCTCGACAGTACGAGCTTATAATGGGAAAGATGATTCCGGAGAGGAAGTAATCTCTACAACAAAAAGTATGGAAGATCTAACCAGAAGGCAAAAAAAGAAAAGCAAACCCCCCATCCCAGAAAAGAAAAAGTGGGGTGGTAAACAAAAACCCTACATAGAAAAGGGTACATTTAAAATTGCAACACCAAAAGGCGAACACAACTTAGCATAAGGATGGGAAGGATCCATGCTATATACATTCCAGTTAGTCTAGTTTTCAAAATATAAATTCTAGGAATGAATATATTCAGATGCAACGTGCAGATTCCCCCACAGAGGAAGCAGGTTAGAAATCTTCTAGGAGCACATGGAGAAAAGGTCAAGAAATATATGCCTGTTGGATTTCATGAACCTGCCATGATCCTACCTAAGGCTGTTGGATCTCATGATCCTACCAAGGAAAAACCATGTTATTAAATGACCTGCAGGAAGGTATGCCATTTTTTAGTAAAAGAGGATTCCTTATAAGAATGACCTGGCCTCAGTAAAAGGATTCTTGATGCTCAATGGGACAATTTTATCTGAGGAAGCTCAAAAGAAAATTGTGGGAAAATGAGTTTCAGATTATCCCACAAAGCTCCTCAAGTGGCGATTGGATGATATGGGATGTACCTAAAGAGGTTCAAATTTTAGCACCCTGTCACAGGTAAAATGTTAGGAGTAGGAAACTGAGTTTTTATAGGGAATTCCACATGGAATAGAAGGCACTAAGGATAACCGTGTTCTGTGCCAAGATAAGAAGCACAAAATGATGAAGTATTGGAAACCAAAAGTTAGGACATCCCTACAGGAGGTGAAAATGACTTGAAATGGATCAAGCATCATAAAAGGAGTATAAATCCATGAATGGTATCAACTTCACAGCAAAGAAGAATGCAGCAGTGATAGCACACTCACTGGATTTATAGCCAAGCTCAGAAATACCCAGCTATACTGGCCTACAGGAATGCCTATATAAGCACAATATTTCAAAGCCGTGCATTGTTTCTGACTGCATGATATATATTGTGGAAAGTTGAACTTAGCCTTTAACATAAAAGCATTCAGAATGGAAAAGAAAAAAAAGAGAAGAAACTCAAAATGTGAAGCATTGTAATAATGAACAAAATAAATAAAAATCGGTGTGCAAGTCTGCATCATATATCATGTATGGAGATCATACAGGCACTACAACTCCTATTAATTACATCACCCAGAAGTCTCTGTGATGGAGTCAGCCCATGTCAGAGCAGAGTTCCAAGAGATTTCAAATCGTGCATGCAAAATTTTCTTAAATTGTCTGTCACATTCACTTAGTCACAGAACAGCTAGAGAAGCCCTGCATGTGTATGTGACAGGTCTGTCTGTGGGCTTGCAGGGGAGAGGAGCTGTTTCTCAATGACAAAGATCAGGAGCATATCTTAACCCAAAAGAGATTATAATGAGCAAATGATAACTTAGCTTTGCAATTTGTATATAAAAAATTGTCTCAATACAGCTGCGCCAGAAATCCTACAACGCTTTTTGTGAAACTAAACACTGTTAATGCTGAAGCAAAGACTTTCCTCATTTTCAGCATCCTAAAAAGCTGGACAGGAAAAAAAAAGCTCCAATGCTACAGTTGGCACTCTCCATGCTTTGTCATTGTATGACCTGTCAAATCAAAAAGGTTTGCGGAGCAGTTGGCCAAAGAACAATATTGTAATTTATACAGCAGAAAACGTTAAAGTCATAGATTTACCTGAGGACCAATAAAAACTCTGTATTTATTATCTGGGCTGTCTCCACCAATCAGAAATGAATTGGGTCCTATTTGCTGCAACAGATAGAGTCTTGCTCGCATCACTTTGTTGACTCGGCGACTTGTTTCTTCAGGACTATATGGGGAAAATCCATCAGGAGATGGGGCTCTTCGTGGTGGAGTGGTACGTCCGCTCTGAAACTGTTTAGAAATAAATCACTATGCATGAACATGTCCTAATAACTGCATCATCTCCAAGCAAAGATATCTGTGATTGCTCTACCTGCTCAGATATGTTATTAGAAAGCCTCAGCTGCTAAAGGTGAGATCCCTTTCCTATCCTGCACACTTCTCTTACAAGCAATTATATGCCTAACATTAGTAACAGACAAGGACGCTGAGAGACTTGTGACTGACATTTCGCCTGAACTCCTAATGGTTCAATTATTGTAAGTACATCAAATTTGTCTCCATGTGAATAAACAAGTGTGTCATTACTATTGATATAGAGCTACTTTAATTTAGAACTAGGGAATCCATCCAATCTAGGAGCCAGCATATCATAGCAGAGAGGGGACATGACCAATTGAAAAAAAACAAATGGTAAAAAAGTTAAAAGTAGATGCTGCAAATTTTGGAAAATATGCCCTTGGCACATATAAAGCCCTAAACTAAAGGTTACAATTCCATAGTCACATTCCATCACGGCAAGATATTGAATGGTTATCTCCCAATGTTGTCAGCAAGTGTTTTTTCCCCACATGCTAGGTAACAAGAATCCAACTCTGTACAGGAAAATAATTTCACAATGATGGAATAAGCCACGCTTAAAAAAACATGCAGATTTTTTATTTTTTTTTCTAATAAAGCCAGTAAAATTAAATGTAGTTTGTGCCAAAGCAGCTCATTGTTCAAGTGTTAAGTGATTCATAACAGTATTTGGTTTGTATGTTTGTTGAAGTAGTTTTTACGTGGACCAGGCTTCCCTAGGATAAGTACTGCCCTAAAACTTCAAATACATTAAGTCTTTCATCTCTGAAAGCAACACTAGCGCTACTATTCAACAGAAAAGAATCCTCATGCTTTGGAAATGACTAGGATATCCACAACTAAAACTTGGGTATAAAACCCAACCTGAAAACTGACCAGCTATATAGTTATAATAAGGAACACAGCAATAGTAACATAGTTCTCTGAATGTAAAAGTGGCAGAACTTACAGGGACAGGAGACAAGCCTCTCCTCTTCATTCCTGGAGACTCTGGCTTTGATTTGGAAGAACTGGATGAGCTGCTGGGAGAAGGGCTGCGTCTCCCCTTTATAACATGGGATGATCCGTTCATGGATCCATCAACTGAGTCCGATTTAGGAGTCTCTGTTCCATCAGTTTTCACAGGAATTGGTTTTACAACCTGCATTATACAAACAACAACAATTAACACTAAGTACTCACTTTTTTATGCAGTTGCAGGTAGCACAGTTGCCTTTTATCCTAGTATCTAAAATAAGAATTGTAATATAAAAACAGCAACCAAAGCATTAATCAAAGCTATAAGTATTCTCTGTCCAAACAAAAAGTGTGAGCCAAGCCATTTCGCTCATTGCACACTTTTAGACCTTTACATGTGGAAGGCACTTGGCTAGAAACAAACACGCCTGCCAAGCGCCTGAAACTCTCACAGTTGAACCACCTAACAATGCACTGGTCAAACAAGATGGAGACACAGGACCCATTGTAGACCAACATATCATTCTTCAAAAGGTGCCAAGTATGGCATTTACTACTTCCCCGTTTGCCTTTGTAATGTTACATTTACTGCTGAATTTACAAGTGCATTGCAAGACACAGGGATTTGAAGTCATTTAAACCCAAAACACAGACACTGCAGTTCTTCTGATGCACCAGTTTAATGAATCACACTCTGTCTTCCTAGAGAAACCAAGAGGGTTATTCACAAAAGGGTGAAGAGTTGGGAGAAGGCAGGAGAAGTGAACAATCTAGGACAGAATAGCTGAACTGGAAAGTGAGCTGAATTGGAGAACTTTTCCAAATCAGCTGTTTTCTCCTAGATTGTTCACTTCTCCTGTCTTCTCCAAACTCTTCACACTTTTGTGAATAGACCTGCAAGTGCTTTGCACATCCAGGGCAAAGCAACAGGTTTGCTTAAATCCCCCCTAAATCAGCACCAGGAGCAGGAGGAAATGCCTGGTACTTATGGGTATGGAGGAGCACGTGACAACATTGGGACAATCAACGCCGCCACACAATGAATTCATAGCTATGTGTTAGCTATGTTTCTGGTACCTGCTACCTTGCACAGGATTCATCTTCACTGAAGGCGGCTAAACAGAATAGCAGGGGGAGTAAAAGGAAGCCAAGTATATGCCTGGGGTATCCAAACTTTGGCCTTCCAGCCCCATACAGTGACCTAGTGGTTAGCTCTGGGGGTCCCCGGTTCCACTTGGGGTCCCCAGTTCAAATGCCAGTCAGGACACTATCTGCATGGAGTTTGCATGTTTTTTGTGCTTGCGTGAGTTTCTTGCAGATACTCAGATTTCCTCCCACACTCCAAATACATGCTGGTAGGTTAATTGGCTGCGGTCTAAATCAGCCCTAGTATTTTTTTTGCATGTATGATAGGGATTGTAGACAATATGTATATTTTCAGCACTATATAAGCACCTCTAATAAAAATAAAAGTAAAAATAATAATACATTGCAAGACTGACAGCCACAGGCATATGACGGTATTTGTATTTCACCACAGCTGGATGGCAGTTACTCTTGGGTATGCGTTGGTGTACAAGAACCTGTTGCTTTGCCCTGTATGAGCAAAAGCACTGAGTAAATGGAAATGGTTTAAGTTCACTGATGAGAATTTGTCTCATCTCCTTCCTACAAGGCCATAAACTAACCAGGTATCAGCTCCAAAAGAGAACGGTTTGTTCTGGATGCAGTCTACTTTTTAATAGTTCCTACTGAATTTAAATTAATTCAAGTCACCAAAGCATACTCTAGTCAAGCAGATGTGATATTTATAATGGAGGTATGGAAGTCTGGTGGCCAGCCAGAAATAGGACCGGAATCCCTGGATGATGGAAGCAGTGAACCCAGCTTGCACAAACCTTGCACTTCAGTTGGCCAATGACTAAAATTGTGGCAGTTACCTGCAGAAGGGGGGTGTGCCACCGATGAACCAATTCACCTGTAAAACAGGGGAGCAGGCCACTGGCTCAGCTTTGGATGGCTACATCATCATAAAAGGAGGCAGGTCATTATGTTGACTGGCCATTAGAAAGTTGAGTCTCTAAAGAGCAGCCTTTTTTCAGAGCAGCACAGACATTGTGAAGGTATCTTTTTAAATAACCATTTGATTGCAGAACATTTTCTATCTGTACATTAAAATCGATGGAAGCTTAAAGCACAACTCTCCTCCTGTCCATTCGGTACGTTTGCTCTGCTCAAGTCACTGCTGACCAAAGAGGGCAGTGTCTCCCCATTAACAAGCAAGTAAGCATGGCCAGGCTTACTTACCACAGGGCCTCGCCTGCTCCTCCTCTCCAGCCATTCGTGCTTCCAGGCTGGCATACATGTAGCCTTGAGTTTTTCCCTGATCATTCGTTCCTCCGGGCGGTCGTCCATTTTCTGCAGCCCTCAGAAAGCGCAGCCATCCAGGATACGCCGTGGCACACAAACTTCAACCCATCCGCACTGCTTCTCATATTACAATTACTGAGAGATTAATTCCAACTGGCTGGAGCACGGCACGTATGCAGCACTCTGAAATATTTGCTTGTTTGCTTTTTAGAGCAGAAGTGCTGTGGGGCATTGTGGATGTCAGGAAGCTACAGATATAAACCTCCAACACAATCAATAACCTTTCAAAAATAAACAGACATGTCTGCTAATGCGTCTTGCTTTGGAGGGAAGGGCAAGCCTGGCAAAACCTGCCAGAATGCCTACTACTAGGCCCTGGGCATGGCAACCCACAGCACAATGCTTCTATTATGAGGAATGAAGCAGATATACACTTGAAATTGGTTTAATAAGACCTTTCAAAAAGCATTGAAGAAGTGAAAAATTTTCTAAACCGTAGCAACCAGATTTCACCGACCATCAGTTGCTTAGACAATGAGAAGGGTTACAGCAAGTTCAATTTTAAATTGAACTTGTCATTAATTTATGAAGGAACATTACTATGAAACAGCAGACAATGTGTTGTATCAATAACCTACTGGGCTTTCCTCAATTCATCTGCAGCACTTCCTAGGAAGCGTTCATGGTTATATACGAGATCCAAAACAGGTACGCCCCAGATTTAGCATTCCCGCCCCCCATGGTGGGATGGAGTGGGAATCCTCTCCCCCAAGATGCCTTCTTATAGTAACAGAAGGATCCCCACAATCGGTAGCCGTCTACCAACCAACAGAGGACCCTTGTTTGCAGAGCTCAATAGATCGAAGACTAAGGGCCCACTCTCACCAGATGTTTTGGGGCTGCGCTGGCCATTTTTTCCAGCGCAGCCCCAACCCAAGAAAAGGCAATTCAGCTAGTTTCAGATGGACTGAGTTCACACCACCAACGCGGTGGCATGCTGAGAAAACGTACGGCATACAGCATTGTTTTTTTTTTTTTCAGCGTACAACTGCACCGCACTGTGCCCATGGAACTTACTGAAATGTTACTTGTCGTTTCAATAAAGTTTTAACACAATAAAAAATGAACAGTATGACGTGTCGCAATCAGCACTGTGCCGGGCAATGCACACCAGCAACGGCGCAATGTAATGTGACTGCCGGTGGGCCTACAAATCCAGTTTTCACTAGGAGGCAGTACAGCGTGGTCACACACACGGAGAGAGTACACCTTGGTACAAAGACAGGAAGATATAAAAGCTATAAAGTGATAGAAACAATACAGGGAATCCATGCAGATATATCACCTAACACAGCTTCATAATAAGGCCCCCAGTATACAAAAAAAACAAACCCCAACAAAAACACATTTTTACCCGTGTCACCAATACATAAGTATGTCCGGGTCTATAGATTTCATTTACCTCAATGGTTAAAGCTACAAAATGCAGTCACATCACACGTGCATTTTACGGTGCACAGCTTCAGATTTGGCGCAGCACCAGGTGCACCGGATGCTGAACGTGCCCCATGTACAGAAGTCTAAAATCTGTATGAATACAACTGAGTAGACCCGTCCTACAACTTCCGTGGGTTACAGCAGAAGCCCTCATGGGCAGGGCCCTCCTTACCATCTTGTCTTGAATTGTATTGTGATTGTAATGTCTTCCTTTTATTGTAAAGCGCTGTGCAAACTGTTGGCACCATATAAATCCTGTATAAGAATAATAACTCGCACTGTATTCACATTTTACATATCAGCAGAAACTTGGAGCCCAGTTACCAGCACTGGCTCAGTAAAGGGAGGCGCCGCACACACCATTTTGCAGAGTGCAACTGAAAAATCAATGTGTGGAGGGAGTTCTCTAGCCATGCACAGAGAAGGTTCTGTATGCAACAGGTACACTTCAAAAGTTTTAGCTAGTATGCTTTAAAAAAAAACCAAAAAAAAAACCAACAACTGGCTGGACCAAATTCCTAGTAAAGTAACTAAATGTGGAGTGTGAATTTCTAAAGAATAGAGAAGGCTGGGACATTGTGATGAGGAAAGACCTGATAACATCCAGCATATGGCAAGCAGCCCAAAAACACTATCCTTCCTGGAGAGAGAGAGAGAGAAACCCCTCTGAGAAAATCCCTTTCAATGAACTAGGACGGGAAACTGGATAAGAGCAAAGCTTTGTGAAGTCGCTCTCTGTTTGTACTTGATCTCTGCTGACTAACTGGAGACACAGGTCTGCTCACTGGGGGAGAAAATGCTGGCAAGGCCATCACGCCTTAAAGGGAAAGCACCTTCTATACAGAACGCGTCCTGCAAAGGGAGCGTGGAAAATACATACACTGACAATGAAATGTAGGCACAGGTACAAAGCATAGTAGAGTGCAAAAAGGCAAATAAAGCCAATATAAGGCTGGCCATACACTCAGCCCACGGGGCTCAATACCCCATCTACGCGGTTAGCAATTTCCCCCTGCAACCCGCTGGGCTATTGTGTTGGGACAGCAGTGGGTGCGCCACTGTATCAGAATACCCCACTAGCGACGGCAGCGGATTGGCCACAGCCACTGTTCGGCTGAGAATGTTCGAACTGGCTCCCTCAACAAAAAAAGGCAATTGAAAAATTGCCTTTGTTGAACAGAGGAGTGCCGACGGGGCCATCACACTGCTCAAATTTCAGCCGAGTCAGCAAGGCAAAATTCAACCAGTGCATGGCCAGTACCAACCTGCATTCATGGTTATTGAAACGCAAGAGAAAGGATCCAAGACGCATAAACAAACCTGATGCTTCCCAGAACAAGTCCTCTTTCTTTTAGATGCACCTGCCCTCATGCGAGTTAAGATGAGTTTATAAACGCATTTAGAATTCCTAATCAGACCCTGGACACCTGAATTAGGTTCTGAAGGTACATGACTCCAGGGAAACGCAGAGTTGGAATGATACCACCATGATAATGACACTAGGCAGCCACAAAAAATATTCTAAAGGAGGTGGGAAATGGATAAAGAAATGAGACCAAGATGGACAAAGTGGATTTCTATGTTTGCGGCCAACTGGGATAGGATACCATCTGTTTTATATTTGATACTTGTGTCCATTCACATAACTGCCGCTTACCTTTTTACTTGCCAAATCTTATTTAGCTTTTCTCTTCTATGTAAATGTTGAGGAGGGGTGTTGGGGAGTTAGGTTTGCCATAAGTAACTGTAGGTTACTGTAACTGTACTGGCAGATCTCATCAGTTGTAAACTAGATTTGAACAATGCCCGTCATAACTAAGGGTTAAAGCGCAAAAGGCTTGGGTGGTAAGCTCTATGCTAAAGCACTTAGGGCCTTGTCACACCATCAGGAGTGCGTTTGGCTTCTCGAACGTACTGGAACGCAACCTGGCCGGCTAAGTTTTTTGGGGGGCGGGAGGGGGCGTCGTGGTGCATTGAACTCAATGGCACCGCAGCCATGCCCTCCTCCCGCGGTGCAGACCCCAGCACCCGAACGCGTGGCACAAACTATTTTTTGCAGATCGCACTGGACCGTAAAGCAGGCACTAATGTGCCACGCGTTCGGGTGCCGGCAATCGCACTGTGGGGGGTTGGTTGCGGTGTCATTGAGATCAATGCACCGACACACCCCCTCCTGCCCCCAAAAAAACTGAGGCGGCCAAACGCACTGGAACACACTCCTGATGGTGTAACAGGGCCCTTAAAGTGACACTAAGTTCAAGAGTTAAATCCTAAAATCGCATTCAAGTGCCTTAACTATTAACAGTACTGGACCTTATTTGTGTATCACTCGGCTGTAGATCATCAAATTATCTCTGAATTGGTGCCGACACTGTCCTTCCTTCTGGAGGGGGGCAACATTTGTTCCCCATGGCCCCTGCGTGTGTTGTAAAGTGGTCACCACTCCAAGCTCCCTCCCGTGATGGACTACAATCTCAATACAAATTGGTAAACTAAAGCACACCAAAACAAGGGTGTACCACAGCGCACGGCATGTGCTATGTGGTGCTTTGCCAGCTACTAAACTTGTGATTTTAGGTGCAATTCTAGATTCATGGAACCGCATTGCACAGCATTAAGATGCACAGCATCCTAATGTGTGTTGGGGTATTGCGTATTACAACACAAGCCTGTGTTAAGCCAGCTTCACTACCCATGCACCAATCTTGGCAATACATGATGATAGGACTGCTCAATATAACCATTTTGATAGAAGAATCCAACATTCACATTGGGCAGTGCAGACGTGATTGCCAGAGCTCATTAGAGCCAACGGTTTTGGATAGAAAAGTGCTGCAAGATGCCTAAAAAAGGTTTGCAACAAGAGAGCTCAGGTGGGGGAACGGTCATGCCAGGGTATCCAGTCACAGCATGGCAATGGTAATGAGAAAAGGACAGATGTCAGATCCTTCTTCCCATCTGATTAAAGAACTGGCAGCACAGGGATGGCATTGCATTAATCAGATCTCAAACCAACACATGACTTGCCAGTAAAAATAAAAAAAGACAAATATCTGGAAACAATACAGAGCACACAGGACATGTGATGGAGGGGTTAAAAAAAACACAAAAAGTGAAATAGATGGTGTGTGCTACTTCCTTTTTCTTTTTTAAGGAGACTGTTTTCTTTCTTGCTCAGACTTCCTGCCCCGAGAAAACACACACGCAGCAACAACAGCTGCGCAGTTCCTGTAAGCCTGGCAGAAGAACACAACAAAGGGAAGTGCTCCGAGCTGCACACACTGCACAACAGCAAAGGGCAAGACAAAAATCAGCTCTTCCAGAGCCAGGGACATTAAATCCTGTATGCCAAGGAAATCACACAGACAAGCACCATAAATCAGAAGGGTCAAAAGACTATCTCAGATATCAATACCAAAAAACACTAAAATTCAGCAATAACACCGTGTTAAAGCTAAACTCCAGGCAGGTATAAAAGACACAAATAAATGCAGCTCTGAATTCATTAAAACAATTAAACTGAATTGAAACCATTCTACAGCAGAGCTCAGCCTGGGAGAGGCA